TCAAGCCCTTGAATCTCCTAGATCAAGTATGATAAATTTATGCTCTTGGATGTTTTGGAAAGCTTGAAACATCCTCTATAACTTTCATGTTGGCCATTTTGACAAAATCATCTTGGAACTATGTGAAAAAATGCCAAGAAGTTGGGGTGAAATCCTAACCAAAATCTGTTGAAAATTTCTCTAAGTGTTAAATGAAAATGTCATGACTTTATGAATTTATAACTCAAAATCCAAGCACTTCTAGGAGAAGTTGTGTAAAGAAATGTTATAGATATCATGGAGATCTACAACTTTCATGTTGAAAGTTTCCCTTGAACTGTCTTGCATCTTGGTGAAAGAATGGCATGAAGTGATGAAATTATTATGTATAAAACACTTAGAAAATTTCTAAGTCTTGGAAATCTTGACTTTTCAAGTTGACTTTCTTGACTTCTTGATGATCAAGCTTGATATTCTTGAATGTCTTGATGAAATTTGATCTTTGGAATGTAATGTTGACCAAAAAGTCAAAGTTTGACTTTCTAATATGCAATTGACCATTTTGCCCGTGTGCCAATTCCAAGCCTAAATTGATGTATGAGTGCTGCAAACTTGACGTCATAGAAGATCTTGTGAGAGAATCCTTAAGAAATGAGAGGGGAAATTTTGGGGTACAACAGTATCATTTGATAGTTTTTCATCTATTTTGTAGGTATCCATTCATGTTTGGAGAATTGGGCAATAAAAAGCCGAAATCATAGCTTTAAAGAGGCGATTTTGAGCAATCCATCAAAGAATAAGGCCCAAATAAAAGAATATGAAATCATTAATTTCATTTATATTTAGTCATTATTATATAGATTATTGAATAAACTGTCCAACACTTTCGACCGTGCGTAAATCAGAGTTATGGTGAAAACAAGTGTTGAATTTTTTGACACAATAGGTTTGGAGCTAGGTGCCCTCTGTGCGTGCTTAGCGCCCCCTGCAACTTCAAAACTCATTAAATAGGGAAAAAAATTTAGGGAATGGGTTGAGTATTTTTTAGGGCAAAAAACTCATCAAGTTCAATTTTTGGTCTTTAGAGCTTGGAAAACAACACTTGTGGCTTGTAATTGGATGATCTGGGGCCGGGAACTTTGTGGATCGTGTTTGACACTGTGAGAGATTTGATTTTCTCTCCTTTTCTTCTATTTGTAACCATTATTTGTTGGGTTTTTGTATGTAAGTGTACTTCTTTATATGTACATTTATTGTTTATGGTGTTGTTTGATGATTTCTTTACAAAACAATGTTGGTGATTGCTTGCTTTATTTGGGTTTGGATTGTTGCAGGCATGTACGGTTCGAATCTGGATTTAGGATGAACATCTATTGAGTTTTGATTCTAGAAATATATTAGGACCTAGTATTCACTTGAGTGTCGACTCTTAACGCCTCAGTGTTGTTTGAGTTGAGCGTAAAATCGCCTCCGCGAGAGATACAGTTGATTTCTCGCTTTGCGTTAGAGATAATCTATGTGTGAGTGGTACGTGATAATGTTGACGAGTAGTTTAGGTTGATTGAAACTGGATAGTAAGTTTAAGTATTTAACGAGTATGTGAAATTCAATCCCGAGAGTCTCTACTTTCCGAAGAATGAATTATTTTTCTGTTAATAACTTAATTCCCACATTTACCTTTAAACAAATTTTAATTCAAACTCATAAACGCGAGAATTATCGAACGATAATTTCACTGCTTCAACAATTTCACTGCTTGGTTTGCACATTGAGTAGGTCTCATAAAATTTAGCGAGATGCTCCAAGGATATCTGATTGCTTACCCATTGAACGGGTTTTCTTTAAGATTTATAAGCACAACAAATTTTATGTTAAAAGTTACCGGATTCGCTGATTAGAATCCTAACCAAATCTAGATGAAGTTGGTTCTCTTGCAGTAGTCCCCCAATGTTTGATAAGGTGGAGTGGTCATCTATACTTTTTCTTTTTTTATTTCTTCGGTAGCTTGAAGTGAATCTCTTTTCTCTTTACAAAGTGTGCAAGCTCTTCTTTTGATTTTGGGATCGATCGGTATCGACATCGTATCGGTACCTCGCATACATGCAAGAAATACCTTAGTAGCACCGCACCAAACAACATAGTAATAAAGGTAAAATTAAATCTAAAATTTAAATCAAAAGAAAATAGAATTTAGAACTAAAATTAAAATTGAAAATAAATTAAAACAAAAAAAATAAAAAAATAAAATCGTCGCACTAAATTGCCTTGTTGAAAATCAACAATCTCCGACAACGGCGTGAAAAATTTGGTGACTTTTCAGCAAATGTATTGATAACGTCAAAGAAATAATAAAAGATTTGTCTCCACGAAGTGAGAAGGATAAAAAATCAAGAATGCAAAGGTAATTAGGACTATTTATCGAATCCCCTTATTTTTATCGGTTGATGAACTATGTACTTGTTGAGTGTCAATCATATTATTCTTATTTCCGTGAGAATTAATATAACCACTACACTCAATTCTTTGGTGCGTATCTCACTAATCTATGCAATAATCTCCTAATTCCTTAGGCCAATTCAAAAACAAATTAGGCATTGTTAGTGCGTTAACTCATAAGCAACAACTCGTAAATTCATATTCCTAATTCATTCCAAAGTCGAATAAATTATCTAGTTTAGATGATTATACTAACAATCAGAAATTCCTAACTATCTAGACCAGTTTATACGCTCACAAGTGACAAAAAGCATTAAACACAACATCAATTTAAATAAGATGGTAAGATTAAAATTACTTAATAAATCTCAAAAAACCATATTATCCAAGAGAGTAAAAACAAAGTTCATCTCAAAAAGCCCTAAGCTGGATAAATTAGCTACTCATTGATAAGATAATAAATACCATGAGTGGAGAAGTATTCACCATTAAAATATATGGGAGAATTGCTCTCTAATGAATCCAAAGTGTTCAAAAATATCTCCTTGAATGACCCTAGCCTTTATTTTCTTCTAAGAATTCGGAACCCCTTGAAAAAGCGCCCAAAATCTCATTTAAATAGGCAAAAACCGTGTCAGCAGAAATAGCAGTATCGTGCCACGATGGATCAGTATCGCGCGATGAAAGCAGTGGCAAAATCACCTTTTCCTCCTTTTTCTTCATATTTTTCACCAAGTCTTTGTATCTTCCTTGTAATAGTTTTTGATCATTCTTCTTCGGAATTTACCTGAATTTCTTTCTAAAAATTACATAATGACGACTCTCATCAACCACCAAAGTCAATGTAATAGGAACCATTCTCAAAGAAAAAGTTGATTTTAAAAAGATTTATATTAAGAATAAGATATAAGCAAATATTAAGCAACAAAAAGATAAATGACATAAATACAAAAAGATATAGTAAAAAAGATCACACTAGAGATCATCTTTGTTTAACTTAAACCATACAGTCTATTTTAGTCCCCTTATTGAAATATGCACTTAGCAATAAAAACAAATGGAAAAATATAGAGTTCTTTCATCTAAAATCAGACTTAAATGAGACTTGATTATGGTTTCTTCTACCAATAACTCATCAACTACTGAATCAACATTAGAGAGAGAATTATGATGTAAAAAAACCCTCACAAATATCTTCAAAATCATTTGAAACTGAACTAAATGTTGCTCTTAGTTAATGTGAGCTTTGACAATTTTTTGTTCAATTGATTTTGTAAGAATCAATTAATCCCACGAATACTAGCCCTAATATCACTCTCCAATTAATAATATTTTGTAAAATTAGACTAAGCATACAAACTTTCAAATGGTCCCAAACTTCTTAGTAGCATCATATTTTCCAATTGCTTGTCTATTGGCTAAGAAACAAAATAATTAATCTAAATAAGAATCTTCACATTACTTGAAAAGAATCAATTTTTTATTTGTCATTCTAAATTGTAAGAAAACAACACCTTATAATAATCAACAAAGAAACTGTTTGCTTAGCCCCAAATAAAAAGAAAAGCAAAATTGAAACAAAGGACAAAACAGATGCACAACTTAGTAATTATTTGGTATATAAGAGGGAAGATGTGCATTTCACATATTCAAAATTATTAAAATTGTACTACTAAACATAATGAATTATTGGGATAGATATACAAAAAAAGTTACCCTTCTAAATTAAATATGATAAATGATGTACTATATTAATTTAACAGGATGAGATGAGAAGAGTAATGAAAAGATAGGTGGTTGTGTCGGTATCCTAAAACTCAAAAATGAAAATTGTAATGAGTCTGAGGAGGATACAAAACACCTTTGAAACAAAAGATTTTGTTGGATATTCCTGTATGAAAACAAAAACAATAATTGTACCAAGTTTTATGTATGGATGAGATTTGATGTGGGTAGGCATCATGAGATGGTGGTGGGGTTAGTTGGATTGGCTTAAAATGAAACTTGTGTGTTGGTTTCATTTGGATACCTTGTCTATTTTAGGACTCAAGCACCTTATGTTGCCATATTTAACCACCCAAGGTGGTTGAGAGCTAGCCTGGCAATACCTTAACTTAATTCAATGGACCCATAACTCATAACTCATCACTTGTCACTCTAAACTATTCTTGCCTGCCTGGCTTGCAATCCAATCAGGTTTTCCGTTGATATCAGATGTCAAACTCGTGTTCAGTATTCTTTGACACGTAAATTTTTGTATATATTATAATCCACTCGTGATTTTAACATTAGGATATAATTTTGTCGCGATTTTATTAAAACCTTAAAATGTAAATTTTGTCAAAAATCGCGGTGATATATTGTTATTCGGCTAAATTTAAGGACAATGATAGGGAGAATTTGAAGGGAAATAAGAAAATGGAATAAGAAACTATGTTATTAGGTTGTTCCAAACTGCATTGGCAGTGGGACACCAACATAATAAAAAACAACAAAAATTACATCAAAAGAACTATTCCTTCTTTTATTTTTACATCCTTGTCTCATAACACCTTGCATCTCCTTTCACATTGCAGCTACAATTTTCATTTCCTTTCTTCATTAAAACCACCTAATCAAGAGATCAACAATTCTTGATTAGTTTAAGAATCTTCATTAATAGACAGAAAATGTATATTTATATATATCACCTGGTTCCTCTGAAGCTTGTTTTCCACCAAAAGAATGCTTCTGGAATTTAGTCTTTCTCTGCAGAAACTGATAAATTTAGCTTAACATAATCGATTGCGTAACACAATGTGATATATATGATTATGATATACCTTTGTTCTTGTTGCAGAGAAACAAGGGGAATAATCAAGTGTGTTATTCTCCACTACTCCATTCCCAGAGAAACTGATTTTCTTCTGTTCAATTCAAATAGAACTGAAAAAATGTTGCTAAAATTATGTGAATGAGAGATTAGATTAAGATTTTGAGTTACCTTGGGATAGTTAAGAACATGGGAGCTAGCAGTATCATCAAGAGGTGAAGATTGTTGACTTTTTCTACCATGTTCATTGACCTTCTTTTTGGATTCTTTAGAACTTGAAGAATCATTCCAATTTACACAATAGCTTTGTTGATAATCTTCCTCTACATGATAGTGTGGAGGTCCAGAAGAAGCGTCAGAAACCATGGATAAATCTTCTTCTTCATCCTTTTCTTCCATTGTTGCTCTTTTTCCATCATAATCTTCATAATCCACACTTTTGCTATTGAAATGTTCTTCAGAAAAAGAGGAATGGTTCAAGTAGTTTGTCCAACCAGATTCACTTTCACTATTGTATTCCGAATAGTTTGACATATCCATTTCAACGCTTTTTCAAATATTTTTTTAAGAATGAACGCAAACTCTTATATAGATTTTGGTAAGGTGATGAATGAGTAGAGTTTGTAGAGTGGTAACGGACCTATAAGAGTAGAGTTTCTTTGTTTCTCTCTTATATGCTTGTGAATGTGTTTTGTTGAGAGTATATAAGTAAAAGAAGATGAAGAAGAAATAAAAATAATTGATTAAACATAAAGAAGCAAAAAGTTGTAAAATGCTTGTCCCTTTAGTCACTCCTTTGGCCTTCTTATTTTATCTTTATGCGAATGAAATCAATATTTGCCAGTTGGCTTTGTGTGCATGTGTACTACAGTGTCAGTTAGTGTAGTAAACTGCATAGAGAGCAAGTGAATGAGTGAGTGATTGAGAGAGAGAATCAATGAACGAATGAATGAATGAAATGAATGAATTACCATGATTCCATATATCAAAACTCAAACATAGTGCTGTCCTTTCAACTTAGTAAAACTTAATTTTAATTACTTATCATTCTTCAATCATTGTCTTTTTCTTTCTCTTAATGCTTGGTTCATAGCAAACATAGTACCAACAAACTAATTTATTTCACCTATCAACTCCTACTTTGTCTTCTTTTAATAATGTTTCTAATAAACATGTAGTAAGTCCCTACAACCTCAAATAATGTAAGTCAGGCATATCAGATTATCGTTGGATTAACCAGTCTAGACAGACCGATAGAAATCCAACGGTTATCGATATAGCTGACACCATAATAACATTAGGAGCTAGACAAAGCCATGTTTCATAAAGACCAACAAAAAGAACCTAAGGTTGTTACAGAGAAGATAAAAAAAATGACTGATAGTTATTTAGGTAGAATATTCTGTTTAAATTGATTGCTTAAATGCTGTGCATGCAGCATATGATAGAGAGGCCCCTCCCCGCAATTGGATTTTTCCAAAACGTTACACTTAATAATTTTAGATAGATGTCACAGTAGAAAATATAATATTGAGTAAGTTAATACACGTGTACATTACTTTTAGTGACAAAAACTCAGCTGAGCCAAAATTGAAGAAAATCCATTAGGTACTTATAATACTAATAGGGCCCAGTAGAGTAACTAGCTCTTACCATATCTGTGATTTTGTACTGCAAAATAATGTCACATTTGGGTAACACTATGCTTGGGATCCGACACTTTTTGGCATATATCTATCTGGCTTACTATATTATGCAATTTACAGGTAGATAGATACCTTTCAAATAGTAAAATTTCAAAAATATTAATCTTTTTGTTTGTTTATATTTTTAATTGACAATAAATTTGCCTCTAACTCGTTACAAGAAGTCGATTTTATTTTATTTTATTTCATTTTATTTCCATAAGGTTATTAGGTGAATTGACATTGAAATGCGACTTTACACAAAGTTGTCCCGCCATTGTAATGGATTGTGTCTTTTTGCAGTTTTTGGATTTGCATGTTACTATGTTATATTCATATCTATCTACTCCGTAAGTTTGAGCCCACCAAAACTAGTACTATCTCAGTAAATTTATTTTGAAAAAAGGACAAATATAAAAAATATTATTTATTTTTCTTGATAAAATTATATCAAAAAAAGAACACTTGGATGAGACGATAAAAACACGAGAATGAGATTAGTAACTAACTCGATGACAGAGTGTGTGTTGTTGAATGGCTTGGGGAGTCATTATCATGCCAACAAATGGAGTGTCACTGTATGAGCGTGGGTTTTTTCAACCGCACGAGGTTTGTTTCTAGTGTCACTTTCTGATTGCAACAAGGTCAAAGATTGTTCATTGGAAATTTGTTTAAACTAAAATCTGTTAACAGATTCTTTTTCTAGACTTGAGACAATTCATCGAGTCCTTATCACAATTAATGTTAAATCCACCTCTCTCTCTCTCTCCATAAACTATGACATTGATTGATCAATTAATCATATCAAAAAATGGAGAGAAAAAAACAGGTCCTACCGGGAGTCGAACCCAGGTCGCTGGATTCAAAGTCCAGAGTGCTAACCACTACACCATAGAACCATGTTGTGATACGTTAGTAATAATAAAATATAAAAAACAAAAGACATAGTAATAAAGACGAATTTGTATATATCAGTAGTATATATTTAGGACTTTTGAATTGCCAGCTATGATTGGAATTGATATGTACAGTGCGTCAATATTTTATTATAGATTAATGATAAAAGTTAATAAAACGTTTGTCTTGTTGTGTAGTAAAGAATGTGACGTTACAAGTTCCGACGTCGATATAGAAAAAGAAGAAACATTATTAACTGGTTATATATAGGAGAGGAAAAACGGCGATCCAAATACAGTTGATTATGTTTTTCGGAGGATGCTAATTAATTATGATGAGGAGGATGCTATTTGATTTTGGGTCCGTATATAAATTACTTACATTACACAAAAATACATATCACCAATCCATACATATGAATGATATTTATGTGTATATTACCTCCAACTCTAACATTCAAATCAGGAGGATTTCATTATAACTCGAATGTTTTTTTTTAAACTCATAATATTGGATTGAATTTCATGTATTATGGTTGTTAAGTGTTCTATTGTGAATAATGTATTTTTTTTAATATTTATTGTAGTAATTTGTGTTCGATTCATTGCATAGATCTATCAGGTTACATTGATCTATTGCTTGAATATTTTGAAATATATTAGAAATACTTTTTTCATATGATACCATGAGCACTTCTTTTTTAGAGCTTTGTTGCATTTCCTTTTTTTTTTAATTTCCATTCTGATTTCCTTTTTTTTTTTTGGTAAAGAAGAGGGTCGAAGCTCAAAGAAAAAAAATTACACAGGAATTAACTTAGGAAAAGAGACTCCTAAATTGTCATCCATTAATAAGGAGTTCAGGTAACTAGGAGCGTGAAGATACTCCACATAATTGCAATCTAATAAGCATCCTTTATTCGCCAGAGCATCAACATATTTGTTTACTTCTTGAAACACATGGTTTACTCGAACATCTTCATGGAGGTCAATCAGTCTTTTAATTTGACGTAATATTGCATGACCTTAAAAACTATCGGATACACCTTTGTTAATGACACCCACCACTGCTATTGAGTTCACATTTAGCTCTACTTCCAGCTTTCGTAACTTGATAGTGTAGCTCATGCATTCAAACACACCTCACAACTCAGCTATAAAGGCGGAATAATTGCCTAGATTCTTTGCAAAACCCCTTAACCAACTTCCATTGGTATCTCGAATGATACCATCACACCTAGCTATAAGTTTATCCTTCCAAGCTCCACCAGTATTGAGTTTAACATAATTATTATACGGATGTTGCCACCCAATCATAACCAAGGACCTGTCCACCCTAACAGATATTGCACTTTGTGATTTTGCTTCAGCATACTCTCTGACCATCTGCGATATCTGATGAAACACATTTAGGGGGCAGATAAAATTCTCTTCATGTGTCTCTTTATTCCTCTAAGTCCATAAACAAATGGCACGCCACTGCCTAAACATCACTCCAGTTAGTAACTTCTTTATCACTAGTTTCAAGATTGAGATTAACCCAATCTTGTAAATCCACCTGCAAGAAATTGTTAGTAATACCCGGAGAAATTTTATGAAGGTGTGAAGAAAACGCGAGAAAGGGGGGTTTGAATTGGGTTTTCCTTTCTTATAAAACGTTTGCTTCTAAGCATTATTCGTTGAATATTGCTTCTGATTATTGCTTCTAATTAATTCTTCTAATTTGGTTCAGAAAATATAAACTCTAAAGCATAAGCAAATGTAAAGAACACATGATATATCCTGGTTCACTTGAGAAACCCCCAAGCTAATCCAGTCCACCCTTCCGAGGTGATTTTGCCTTGAACTCAAAGACTTGATCCACTATATTTAATTTGATTATAATCGCACGGGCAACCGTCGGTGACTAACATCCAATGTAACATTCAGGGATCCAAACTGAATATAACATTCATTGACCTAACAAAATCCGATTCTCCAGAATCTTCTATCAGGATTTCCTTCCAATGATAGCCATCAGTGATCTCAGAAGACTGACTTTCACTCAGTCCCCTTTGAGATATGACTACCATTGACCCAATAGAATCCACTACCATGATTTCATCTATGATGGTCACGGTTATAACACGGTGGAAGAACTGACTTGGTGTATTTTGTGTTTGATCGCAATTGTTGCGGGTAGGAAGAGTCGCCACCGACTTTTATTTTATCCAATAAGGAAAGGTTGAAAAGAACAGGAAAGACCTTTCGAGATTATTTCTTGAGTTCGGGGGGTAGGTTATGAAAAGGGAAGGTGTTAGCATCCTTTTCATCTGTAGTTATCTACGGGCTCTTAGTTGCTTGCTAGATCACTTGCTTTTGTTTGAAAATGTGATTGTGGTATGGGTTTTGAAAGTATTTTGAAAAAGAAATGTCTTTGTAATGGTTCTCGTCTCTATAAGAACGTGTACAAAGTGTTTTGTCTTTTGAAAATGTTTCAAAGTGAAATTGTGTGTGTATAAAATGTGTTTGTTATGAGCAAGCGAGCAACTAGGAGCATCCTACCTACTCAAAAGGTCTAAAGTTCTTTTCCTCCTCCTTTAGATGTTGCTATCTTACTATTGATTTGGTAAGCCCCGTCGTTGGATGTGAAGGGACGTGCGTGGGATGTTTGTATAGTCATAGAAGATAACCTATGGGAAGTTTTAGCAATGTTGTTTAGGAACTAGATCGTTTACCGAAGGCAACATTAAGGGTCATCAAGGGACTACGATCCTTTATCGAGGATCTTTGCTAAAACGCCCATATTCGAGGAACATGACTATTTTTCTGAGGAAACAAGTGAGATTACCCTAAGGGTGCATGTGTGAATAGTGTGTTTGATTTGCATGCATTTAGCATTTGATTAGGGGTTGTCTACTTATTGTTTTTATCTTGCCATACATCCTAGTTACTAGCATTTATAGAAAAGCAATAAAATGCA